AACAGGGCGAGCAAGCTTGCATTTGTCTTCCTAAAGGAAACTAGGGGTTGTTTTTTTTCATCATGTAAAAGATGTTTGAATTAAAAGCCCAAACGTAATCAAAAGTCATTAATGGATGCCATATCTGCAGCTGAGCATCAGGCTAAGGATCTCTGACTGGGACACGATTGAGTTCAGCTGACGTGAAGGTTCCAATGTTATTTTCCTTTTTAAAATCAAATCTCTACTTGAAGAGACCAGCAGTCTTCCTCCACTCCAAAGCTTTGCTCATGTCCCAGTTTATATTTTCACTGTTGCAGTTATTTTGATTCAGTTCTTTTCTATACCATCCTTGATAAAGTCTCATATGAGTTGGAGCCAGCTGAGTTTTGGGCGATCGGCAAAGTGCACCCAATCACAAGGCACAGACATTATAGACAACCATTCACACTCACATCAAACGACAGTTCTCAACCTACCATATATGTTTTTGGAAAGTGAAACGCAATCAGAAAAACTCCATTCAAGCATGGGGAGAACATGCAAACGCCACACGAGAAGACGAGAACCTAGATTGGAACCCTCAAAATTTATATCAGCCGAACCAGTCAGCAAGCATGCTTCCATGAAAGCAATACTGTATGTTCTATCGAAATAAATGGGATTCAATGGATCATTATTGCTTTATTATTACCGGTCTTGGAGAAAAAAAAAAATGTCAGAGCAAAATAGACGGCGTTTGAAATGACAAACTGCTATCCAGCAGGCTTATTGTATAACATACAGAACATTCTTTGCTCATAATTTCAATCTCCCGTTTTGTAACACAGTGGCCTTATCCTGCTACATTAAATATTTAATATGTATTGTGAAATTATGTTTTGTTTTTTTTTTTACAATTTTATTGATGCCCAGTCCTGGAGACACTGTACTATAAAAGAAAAACAAACGGATCTCGACAATCTCAAGCAGTTTCTGATAGATAGAAATCAAAATGAACATTATACTTATTGTTTGCTTTGATATAAACAACAACAGGGGGAGATCAGAATGTCTTGAGGTTACCAACAGCGCGCAATGAACTAGTTTGCATGGTAGCATGAGAGTAAGTTGTCACAGGGAACAGCAGACCTTTTCATGTTTGTAAACTATCATGTCAGGGTACTTAGTGCTTGCATAACAAAATTGCTACCTGACCTGAACTTAAATGACCAACTAGTTAAATCAACTGTCCACTGTACAGTGACCCCAACATAAATACGGTTCAGATTCACCTATTTGTAGATGGGGTTTTTTTGGGGTAGAAATTGCTTGCTGGCAGTACTGTATATCCCTACGGATTTTCTCTACTCACAGGCCAGCGTGGTCCCTATCACCCACGATTTTGTGTAGGGCCAGTCTAGATACAGTATATTTTTATAACGCCGCCCCCCCTGGCAAAAACTTTACCTGCCGCCACTGAAAATAGCAAATAGTAAGACTCATCTAAAGGGTTGAATATGAGCGCGTGTGCCGAGTGGAAGGTTGCTGCCAGCTCAAATGACTGTGGATGTTATTGGACAGGCTGAGCACTGTAACCATACAGCTGTCAGGATGTGTGAAGGAGTTTACGTCATTTTGGGTTAATTCTGAGAATGAGGCTGAAACCACTTGCTTCAGCTCTCCTCCTCCTCCTCCTGCGTACTCATTCAGCACTCGAAAACCATTCCGGACGTGAGCTGTGCTTTCCTTCTCCCACTTCATAGCACTTTTACTCTATTCTACAAGCACTATCTTCTATGACTTATTTACCAGACTGAGTAGCACTCAAGAACACTTTGCACTTATATGAGCCCACTGAGCTGAGCCCAGGATTCCTCATTGGGGCTTACATGAAGTGAAAATGTTCCAAGGTCCAGGCTTTATTCCAGAGGAAGAACCACGAAATATTCAGTAAGTTTGCCAGGATGAGACCAGAGAACATTTTTGACTAGTACATCACACATAACTTGGACAAAGTGGTCATCTAGGGAATAATTAATTCAAGCTCACACTCACACCTCGGGACAATTTAGAGTGCTCCATTAACCTATGGTGCATGTTTTTGGAATGTGTGAGCAAACCGGAGTACCGAGAGAAAACCCACGCAGGCATGGGGAGAACATGTAAACTCCACAGAGGAAAGCCAGAGCCCAGAATTGAACTGTGAGGTGGACATGCTAACCACTTGATCCTCTGACCACCCCCTGCCACAGAGGAGCTTTTTAATCACCCTGGCAACCTAAACCATGGAGACAGGAGAACTCACATTAGAGTGCCCCAATTTCCATTCCTCATTGGAAGGTGTTAATGGAACTTAGGAAGACTTCAAATTATCTGCTCTACAGTCCACTCACACAAAACAGATGAAAAATATTCTGTTCCCTGAGGGACAGAGTTGGGTGTGCATGATCGGAAAAAAATTGAAAACCACTGTCATTGGAGGTTATAACCTTGTGTGATCCCTCAGCTCGGACCTGTTTTTCCTGGGTTTTCCTGTCAAGGTCTTCGGGGCATATTCTCCCCTTCATGTTTAAGTCAGTTTCTTACATGGCTTTCTTATACATCATGGTGTGGCAATTGTCCGAGCTCAGCTTTTGGCACACCCACCATGCATAAGCTGGAAAGTTGTGCGTAACCACAAAAGTGAGGTGATTCTGTAACGTCTGAGCTTGGCCCTAATTTACGGATCATGGCGTTTTGCTGAGAAATGTGAATTCCATAGAGATACATTCAGAAAATATGTCATTTTTTGGGCCCTATTTTCATAGACAAGTGTAGATTTGCGCAACATGAAAATTGGCGCAACTTCATTTTCATTGGTTAGGAATTTTGCTGGCTGTGCCAAGTCTTGCTGGGTGTTCCATCGGATCAGGGACAAGGCTGACAATTTGTTGACAGAAAGTAGGCTAGACTTTAGACCAGGTTAAACCAGGTCTAGGTTGTGGCGCAGGTGGCGTAACACAATTTTGATGGATTTGATCCAGGCGCAGGCAGACAGATTCTGTGCTCCACTGTCTCCAATTTCATCGTATCTCATTAATATTATCATCATGAATATATTTTACTTTCAAACTAACCCACTGACCACGGCTCAACTGGTGTATGTGTATGTGTGTGCACGATCGGGAGTGCAAGGCAGTCTTCAAGTGCCAACTTTACATTAGCCAACTTTACACCATCCGCAAGTGGACATCTTGCACTTGTTATTAAACATACTTTGCGTATGCTGATCTCCTGCATGAACTGCATTGAGTGAGTTCATTATGCTTCCCCCATGTGGAACCTCACCTGCACTGAATTTAAGAGAATGAGAGGAGGCGCTGTGATTGGCTGGGAATCAAGTCAGCAGGGTTCACTCCCACAAAATGCAAACACCCATTTCTAAAAGCGCCCATCTAAGAAAATATCACGAGAAATTAAATTCCACCAATGAACACAGTTAGACGGCACTTTGCGATAGACTTGAGTTTTGCACAAATACAGGGTCCCAAAAATGCACATTGTACACAGCCGTGGGTGCAAGTCCGAGCCCCAGGTTCTTGCCAGCGAGCATCAACTCCAGGCCTGGATCCAGGGTGAGGCGCAGATGACCTGCATCCGTGCAAGAGAAATAATTAACGATTGTTTTTAATAATCAGAAGAGGTTTCTGAGAACATGCTTTGTCTGATCCCTCACCTAGAACCTGTTTGCCATGGCCGACCCTGCCAGGTGCATAAACCGCCAGACAGCTTAGCGCCTAGTATCATTGGGACAGAGAAACCTTTCCACCAAGGAGTTTGATTTTGACTTTTGAGATCTGCACAATGAATGTAGATTGGAGTAGTATCTCTATTTATCAATTTAG